ACTGTAATATTTAATCATCAGCATTAACACACGAAGGAAATTAGAGGTTTAGTCTGGTTAGGATGTTTGTGTCATACTGTTTTCTTACCTGGAGTTGATGATGGGATTATGAAGTTAGGAACTGTTATTCTGTAATAGCTACTGTCCGAAATTCAGTCTATACTGAAGTCGTCATGGTGACCATGTAATCTGTAATACGGCCCCTGGAGAGGTTCTGTATGGAGGAATGGTCTCAGATCCTTTGCCATGTGTTCTCCAGTGTCATTAAGCATTATAGGAGAAGACTCAGAGCTGTTATCTTTGCAAAGGGAGGCTGCACAAAGGATTAAATGATGGGGTGCTAACAATTGGTCCGTGGGAAAAAGAGACTTGTGAAAAGCTGTTAAGTGCTGAAAAAAATCTGAGAACCTTGTGGTTAAATCATTGAGGCTTAGTTAAACCACTAGATGTGGGTCATAAGTGAAAGACACTCTAATCAGTTTCATGATAAAGATGAAAATTGTAATGGATTGATAATGATGAACAAAAAGCTAATTAGCGAGATTGGAAATGTGACAACAGACTAAAGGCCTAGTTATAACAATCTCTAAAAAGTCTGCTAAATGAATACAAATACTTTAATTCAGTACATACGCACTGGATACTTCACCTTGTAGATGTAAAGTCAGAGACGATAGCTCATCTGCTGCTGCACAGTTTGTGTTGGTCATCCTCTAGTCCTTCATCAGTGGTCACAGGACGCTGGTCACAGGACGCTGTTGGCTGGATATTTTTGGTTGGTGGACTATTCTCAGTCCAGCAGTGACACTGAGGTGTTTAAAAACTTCAGCAGCACTGCTGTTTTTGATCCACTCAGACCAGCACAACACACACTAACACACCACCACCACGTCAGTGTTACTGCAGTTTTGTTCTGAATGTTTACAAGGGGGATACGGGGTTCTCTGATTGTTTACTTTGGGGATCTTTGTTGTAACAAAGTTAAACTACCCCCCCCCCCATGTGGAGGCTGCACTTTAACCTGGCTAGCTCTCACTGTGAGCTGTTTATCTGTTTCTAAATGATGCTATATTACAGCCACCAAGAGGAGATTCAAATAACATAGCAGTGAACTGTGTGACTAAAACTCACAACTCAGTTATCAAAACTGATGATGAAAAAAAGATCCTTAAATGATACAACCATAGGGTAAATCTGGTTTGATTGGCTGTATAAGTTCACAGATGACATTACTATGGGAATAAGAGACAATGACCAAAAGCACAGGCTCATATGTAACAGTGACACTGAACAGGCACCCACTGCAGTGTCTACAGGTCTACAACAAGAATCTGGCTGTCTCTCTGTAGATTTTATGCTCCTTATTGTTTTTAGGTACCATCAGTCGTCAGTAGAGGTGGGACATCTTTTCGTGCACTGGCTGGAAAACACTTAACATCAGTGAGCAAGTGGAAGTCGTGACACAGTTACATTACAGTCATTCTGACTCTGAAATGACTTTCTACTTCCAGCATGCCTTCAAATTTAAACTGTAAGCCTTTCTCTAAAGCAGGATGCCCAATCCTGGCCCTGCAGATCTAGAAACCCTGGAGAGTTTCTAGCTCTGCTGGGCTGACAGCTTTGAATTACCTTGGTTTTCACATTGACTTGACGCCTGACCAAGAGTGCTTCTCTCATTTCCTGCTCACCGCCATGGACTGCAGGTAGTGCAACAGCAGAACTTGCAATTGTACTCACTGTTCTGGAGACATTTTCCCTGTATGTGTTGGTTAACGACACACTGTGCGCTCAAAGTCTATGTCTCTGAATGATGTGAATGAATTTTACTGTTCACTTCAGCTGAGTAAGCATGTTGCTACAGGTTTTTAAGAAATATATACATAATTGCCCTTCGATTTTCCATGTTTATGGACCTTTAAGGTTAAGGGGGCAGTTGTGGGCTGGAGGTTAGGCAACCAGCATTGTGACCGGAAGGTTGCTGGTTCGATCCTCTGAGCCGACAGTACGTGACTGAAGTGCCCCTGAGCAAGACACCCAACCCCCAACTGCCCCCCCGGGCGCCAAGGATATGGCTGCCCACCATGCCGGGCAAGGGTGCTCACTGCCCCCTAGTGTTCACCAGTGTGTATGTGGTGTTTCACTGCATTTTTTCTCGCTGGTTTAATTATCATTCTTTAAATGCCTCTTATACTGTAGACACTACAGTAATATGGGGGAAAATGCAGTCCATTGTTTGGGCCTTTTCTCCATTGTGTTCTCCAGTGTCATTAAGCATTATAGGAGAAGACTCAGAGCTGTTATCTTTGCAAAGGGAGGCTGCACAAAGGATTAAATGATGGGGTGCTAACAATTGGTCTGTGGGAAAAAGAGACTTGTGAAAAGGTGTTAAGTGCTGAAAAAAAACTGAGAACCTTGTGGTTAGATCATGGAGGCTTAGTCAAACCACTAGATGTGGGTCATAAGTGAAAAACACTCTAATCACTTTCACGATAAAGATCAGAATTGTAATGGATGGATAATGATGGACAGAAAGCTAAGTAAAGCTTATTAAGGCACCGTCTGAAGAGCACTGAGATTTACTGATGATTTGATACATGGATATTTAATACATGCAACCTACAAAACTCTGCTACAGATGAACTGTAAGCTTTGTTTCTCTATAATTCAGCTGAAAGGGGTGAGATTGGAAATGTGACAACAGACTAAAGGCCTAGTTATAACAATCTGTGAAAAAGTCTGCTAAATTAATACAAATACATGTAATTCAGTATATACGCACTGGATACTTCATTAAGACCACCTCCTTATATCTACACTCGCTGTCCATTTTATCAGCTTCTCTGACCATATAGGCTCACTTTGTAGTTCTACAGTTACAGACTGTAGTCCATCTGTTTCTCTGATACTTTGTTAGCCCCCTTTTACCCTGTTCTTCAGTGGTCAGGACCCCCATGGACCCTCACAGAGCAGGTAGTATTTGGGTGGTGGGTCATTCTCAGCACTGCAGTAACACTGACGTGGTGGTCTTGTGTTAGTGTGTGTTGTGCTGGTACAAGTGGATCAGACACAGCAGTGCTGCTGGAGTTTTTAAACACTGTGTCCACTCACTGTCCACTCTATTAGATGCCCTGGTCGTGCAGATCTAGAAACCCTGGAGAGTTCAGATGCAGCACACCTGTCCCTGAAGGCCTTCATGATCTGGATCAGGTGTGCTAGATTTAGTGGTGGAACTCTGCAGGGTGGTAGATCTCCAGGACCAGGATACCATGAGTTTGAACTCTGACAGGCACCATGGGGGCCTGAAGAACAACATTTTGTTCCAGTGCATAGAAGTCTTTATAGAAAGACCATAAAGACTGCTCGAACCTGACTTGACTTTAGCAACAAATTAAATTCATCTGCAGCCAACCCGAGATCTTTAGACTATAAACTAAAATCGACTGCCTTATTTTTTTAGACCTAGCCGTAATTTTGCACTCCGTTACATAATTCAGTGCACATAATTAATGTTACATAATGCATAATTGTTTATATTTTATTTACAAAGCTGTCTGCAACAAATAACTTTGGTATTCATCAGCAAATCATGTTACAGTCTTATGAGTGCGTGCATGAGTTCTGTAGTTCTTTAAACTGCTGATCGATAATAGGATGCTTTGCATTGTCAGTTTTGAAGCAGCTGTGAAACTCAGTGTATCTAAATGATTTTCATTTTTCATTCCTTTTGTGCATAAGGGCAGTCTGAAGGTCATCTAATGGAACATCACCTTCACCGCAGACTGAGAACAGCTGCAGAAAAGCATGTCTCATTTGGTCAGGCGTCGAGCAAAAGTGAAAACCTAGGTAGTTCAAAGCTGTCAGCCCAGCAGAGCTAGATTACATGGTAAAACCATAGAGACCACCATAAAGAGCTTGAAGACTGGGCAGTGTGTGTGTGGGGGGGGGACAACGATCCTAAACATACCTCAGAACTTACCATGAACTATAAGACTCTGTTGGTAGACTATGAGTTATGACTACTTGTGGCTTATGACTAAGAGTGCTTCTCTCATTTCCTGCTCACCACCATGGACTGCAGGTAGTGCAACAGCAGAACTTGCCATTGTACACACTGTTCTGGAGACATTTTCCCTGTATGTGTTGGATAAGGACACACTGTGCTCAAAGACAATCACTCTGAATGATGTGAATGTATAACCTGCACATCTCCAGAGTTCAGAACATTCCAGTGTGAGATTTTATAAAAACAATAAAAACAAAAGTGGCACCAAAACTGCCAGAGCTCCTAAATAACAAACTCATACACAGATATAAAGCTAAAGTAGCTTCTTATTCACCAGCTTCTCATTTGAATTTTCCATTTCACCTTAAATGGTGCTGCAGATACACTGAGGTGACCTAAATGGGGAATTCCACCTTTTTTAAATTCCTGAATAATTCAGTCATTCTAAGTGGTTTGATGTGAAGTGGTTCACTGTAGAGAAGGTTACAGACTCAGATGTCTTTACAGTGGTGGTGATAGGAACCAGGGGTTGCCATGACTACAACACAAATATAGACATTTTATTTACTATATAAAACCACCAGTGAACCTCTGTCGTCTGAGATTTTTTATGTAGTCTTCATGACGGTGAAATAGGCATAAATCTGAAAAAAAGTTTGATTTGGGGACTATATTGCCTCACAACAGCCTGCATATATCCCTCCACAATGAATGGATAAAAAAATGGATTAAAATATATTTTGAGCCAAAACTTTATCACAAAACAATGTCTCACAGGCATAACAGCATATGACATCTGCCATGACATGTTTATTACATGGTAATGTCAATGCTTTGTAGGGTTCAAGTAAGATGTTCCCCATTTATGGTTTATAATATGTATGTAAATATTAAACAATATATTCACTTCACAGGTCATCAACAGTACAAAAGGAGATGAGGCAGCAGAATTTGTGATGCAGATTTATTCATACAGTACATTGGTTTATATCGCCCTTCATTTGAGCACATATTCAGACATTTAATTGTATGTTGAAATGAAAATGTCAAAAATTTCAAAACATTTTTGGAAAAAGAAAATACATGTGGACGATTACTGATAAGCACAGAGCTACTCATCTCACTCAACCTCGACTGAGCCCTCCTCCTCAGCTGCCGCAGTTTGGGGAATTCTTATTGGGCAGAAGGTTCTGAGGGTTCTTTTCAAAATGAACAGGGAGGCATTTATTAATCTCATTTTTTTTAATCTCATCACAAGCAAGAATGATGTGCTGGGTCACATTGCTAACTTTCCAGGCTTCACAGTTTTCGTTCCAGCGCACCTCAATGAAATTGAAAGCCTTGTTGCTGATGCACAGGTTCTTTCCTCTTTCAAAGAGTTTGCCTCCAGATGGTGAACAAACCTTTTCCACTTGTTTTGCCACACTTTCATCCAGAAAGCTCTTTATGCGATATGTTTTATAGCAGATTGCAGGGTCTTTAATGTGTTTAATGTATGTAGTCCACAGTTTAAGGTCAGTTCCATATTTCCTAAGCGTGGCCAAATGTTGCTTATTGAATATCTCGTTCTTGTAACCGTTAGATGAAGGCTTACAGGGTGCGGAGTTGGGATCGTAGGTGATTAGCTCGGAGTCTGGGTCTGGTGCAGGCGCAGGTCCAGGTTTGGGTCCAAGCTGTAATTTGGCCGTACACAGGTGGAAGATGAGAACAGTGAGCACTGTCCATTTTGGAGACTTTTGGAGATGGAAAGACAAAGAGTTGCAGATTTCTCAGAGGTTGTTGTTATTGGCAGCAGTATATTCTAGTCTGAAGTAGTTGTCGTAATTTTTTACTTGTCTTGCATAAAGTGGGCCTGATAATTAATTTCATAAACAATTTGTGGGTCAGTTGGGGTATGTTTCCTTGAGCCAACATTGCGTGACAGTGTTGCCTCAAGGCAACATATGAGTGTCATATGGACAGGGTTGGGATGTAACGGAATACAGTTATTGGGAATACATATACAGAAACCAGAAATTAAGTATATGTATTCAATCCAAGTAAAATTTTGTAAAGACGGTATTCATACATTCACACTAAATTTTTAAAATATTTTATGTAATATTTCATAAATCAATGTGATGATCAGTTATTAATCTCAGCGTTACTGAGCTCTGCTAAAGCCTGAGTAGGCTGATAAATCAATGTGATGATCAGTTATTAATCTCAGCGTTACTGAGCTCTGCTAAAGCCTGAGTAGGCTGATAAATCAATGTGATGATCAGTTATTAATCTCAGCGTTACTGAGCTCTGCTGAAGCCTGAGTAGACTGATAAATCAATGTGATGATCAGTTATTAATCTCAGCGTTACTGAGCTCTGCTGAAGCCTGAGTAGACTGATAAATCAATGTGATCGGTTATTAATCTCAGCGTTACTGAGCTCTGCTAAAGCCTGAGTAGACTGATAAATCAATGTGATCAGTTATTAATCTCAGCGTTACTGAGCTCTGCTAAAGCCTGAGTAGGCTGATAAATCAATGTGATCAGTTATTAATCTCAGTGTTACTGAGCTCTGCTAAAGCCTGAGTAGACTGATAAATCAATGTGATGATCAGTTATTAATCTCAGTGTTACTGAGCTCTGCTAAAGAGTGTGTGAGAACAGCAATGGACTGAAGCAGGCAATGAGAAAGAAAAGTAAAAAATTAAGAATTTTCGGAAATGCATTTAAATGATATGCAAATTTTAATTAAACGTGTTTCAAGAGACAGAATATTTACGTTACAAGAAAACAAATTACTAGGAACAGCAAGGAACAGTGTTCATTTAAAATAAAATCCAAAGAATACATTATTGAATACATTTAGGTCAGTGTATTCAGTATTCAGCTGTCACCACTCCCTCAAAGTATTTTGCCCAACCCTGCATCTGGAAAACAGGATTAGTCTGTAAAATGTTACTGTAGTTCTAATCCTAATCCAGTGGCTACATGTAAATAAGGCTACATGACAGTTTAATAAGACTTTCTTGAAATTCTTAAAATATTATACAAGACATTTTGAGCCTGACAAAATTTTTAACCATCCCGAAGACAACAGAAAATGAAACTGTGTTTTGAGCACCAGAACGTTCAGCAAGAAAAGACAATCTGCTCATTTTACTCGAGGCAAATAAACATAAATCATTACTGCAGTTTGCCATTTCATTAGGATTTATTCTTTATAAGCAGCAAAATGAAACTCACAGGGACAGATAATATATACATAAATTTGTCATTACAGTGTCATGGCATTGCTATAGGGCTTCATAAAGATTTTAAGCATAAATATCGTAGTCACTTCACGAAAGGGCCTGAGAACAAATGCATTTCTCTGCAATAAAGCGCAGCATTATCAGAACCTTCACAGTGGAACCTAGAGAGGTTTTCAGATTTTCAGCTTAGTGTTAACACCTTTGTTTGATTTTGCGGGCTCACTTGTCTAGCCTTTATGACAGTTGCCACTTATTGTAAAAAGCCTTTAAAAATGTTTATGTAGGTTTATGTGAGTCATCAGGAAAAGCTTATGTTATTGTCATGTAGCCTTATTTATTTGACTTACAGAAAAAAGTTACAGAACATCCTGTCTTCCTTATGACACTTTTTTTTCCATGGTCGCACAATGTTGCCTCAAGGCAACATACTTAAAAGGACACCAGCACACAATATTTAAAAAAATTGTTTTTGATTTTAATAATCAGGTTCACTTTATGCAAGAAAATGTAGATATTTGGAAATGTATCTCTAGCCACTAACATCACAAGTTAAATAGTAAATGATTTAGACTTCCTAAATAAACAAAAGCACAAAAAAATCTAAAGAAATAAATCCTTGTGAAATGAACAACTAAGAAATGTGCAGAGGTCTGGCTACATAAGTGACACTTCACATGCTACTGGCTGTAACCATTCAACTGTTGCACAGTGTTGCTTATAGGCAACAAATGTATTTAACCAATTTCTCATAACATAAAAATCAATTATATGATACTGAATGCTGCAAAGATGAACTTCACACACACCGACAGATTTAAATAATATTTTTGAATAGATGAGAAATAATGAAAAATAGTATTTGTTTCTATTTGGTACAGAAACGTGTTATTCACAAGTTGCACCAAGCCAGATAGATGTTTTAAAATGCCCATATATAGTGCGACCGAGTCCAATCATTAAATTAGTTTATTCAGACTCCTCATTTTCAAGCATTTGATTGCTGTTAGGTAGATGTATTGTAGTTGTTAAGGGAGGAAATTAGGTTTGTTACCCTGAGGCAACATTAAGCAATAGAAAGGTAAATTACTATTTCCAAATATTTAAAAAAGACAAAGTGTAAATATAGTCTGAGATGAATAAAGATACATTACCATGCTGGAACACAAATTCTGACTTCTTGCTGATGTCTTGAAGTTATCAGGATGCTCTGCACTGAGCCACCCATATATATATATGTGTGAATGTGTGCAAGAATGTGGCTCAGCTGACCACAGTTTCCTGAACGCCACAGTTTCCTGAAGACCACAGTTTTTGAAGAGATATCAAGGCCAAATACCACTCAATTGTGTTTTGTAATACATGATTAAAACACAAAAATATAAAGTATACTTAAATACAGTGCCCTCCATAAATTTTGGCACCCCTGGTAAACATGGGCAACATGGGCTGTAAAAATATTCTTTATTGCTTGTCCTTTTGATCTTTCAAATCTGAATTGTATTTGAAGTACATTAATTAAAAGAAAAAAAAACTAAGTCTTATTATTAAATGAATATTTTTCTCAAATCTATTTGTGCCACAGTTGTTGGCACCCTAGAAATTCTTCTGAGTAAAACGTAACTGAAGTATATTCCCATTCATATTTTATGTTTTAAGGTTCACCTGAGTCACTAAGAGCACTTAAATGGTCAGCCATCAATTTCTGATTCACACACACACACACACACACACACACACATCATCTAAACCGCTTATCCTTCTGGGTCGCTGGAGCCTATCCCAGCTGTCATTGGGCGGAAGGCAGGATACACCCTGGACAGGTCGCCAGTCCATCGCAGAGCAGATTTCTGATTCATTGGGGTGTAAATATAAGGTGACACACAGGCCAAAGTCCCTCAGTCATCTATCGATATGAGAAAGACCAAAGAATACAGCAATTATATGCCTCAAAATGTTTCAAGAAAATATACAAAATGTAAAAAATGGGTTCAAGAAGATAGTTAAACAGTTGAAAATGCAGATAAACCAACTTCTTCCAAAGGCCCTGGACAACTTGTTTGGATGCATGATATCACAGACTCAATCAAGAACCAAACCTGATTGCTTTAGTCAGGAAGCTTAAACTGGGCTGTGGTTGGATCTTCCAGCAAGATAATGACCCAAAACACGCTGTTCAACACAAAATGGTTCGCTGACCACAGAATCAAGGTTTTGCCATGGCCACCCCAGTCCACTGACCTAAAGCCCATAGAAAACCTGTGGGATGTGCTGAAGTGGACAGTGCACAGCGTAGATCTTGGAATCTGAAGATTTGGAGAAGTTCTTTGTGGAGGAATGGTCTCAGAGCTTTTGACCAGTCTCATTAAGCATTATAGGAGAAGTCTCAGAACAGTTACATTTGCAAAGGGAGGCTGCACAAAATATTCAACAAAGAGGTGCCAATAACTGGTCTGTGTAAAAGAGAACCTGTGAAAAGGCGTCATGTGCTGAGAAGAACCGAGAACCTTGTGGTTAGATCATGGAGGCTTAGTTAAACCACTAGATGTGGGTCATAAGTGAAAGAAACTCTAATCAGTTTCACGATAAAGATCAGAATTGTAATGGATGGATAATGATGGACAGAAAGATAAGTAAAGCTTTTTAAGGCACCGTCTGAAGAGCACTCAGATTTACTGATGATTTGATACATGGATATTTAAATACATGCAACCTACAAAACTCTGCTACAGATGAAATTATAAACTTTGTTTCCAATATCTCCCAATAATTCAGCTGAAAGGGGCGAGACTGGAAACGTGACAACAACAGAATAAGGCATAGTTGTAACAATCTAAAAAAGTCTGAATACAAGTACATTTAATTCACCACAGACTGAGAACAGCTGCAGAATGGCATGTCTCATATGGTCAGACAACAAGCAAAAGTGAAAACCAAGGTAGTTCAAAGCTGTCAGCCCACCAGATCTACCCGTGTGTGTGTGTGTGTGTTGGGTAGTTGGGTGGTAATTGCACTAGTCATTGGGCCATTCTTATAGGTACTGACACAGATGTACACCAATGACAGGATAATGATTCTAAACATACCTCAAAATTCACCATGAACTCTAAGACTTATAAGTCAACTGTAAGTCAGTAGAAAATGACTGAAAGTTTAGATGCAGCACACCTGTTTATAATATTCAGATGCCCCCTGAAGGCCTTCATGATCTGGATCAGTTGTGCTAGATTTAGTGGTGGAACTCTGCAGGGTGGTAGCTCTCCAGGACCAGGATACCATGAGTTTGAACTCTTGATAGGCACCATGGGGGCCTGAAGAACAACATTATGTTCCAATGTATACAAGTCTTTATAGAAAGACCATAAAGACTGCTCGAACCTGACTTGACTTTAGCAACAAATTAAATTCATCTGCAGCCAACCCGAGATCTTTGGACCATGACCTAAAATTGATTGCTTTAATGTTCATTAAATTAGCTTATTTTGTTTTTACTAAATTAATTTCTTAGACTTAGCCTTAATTTTGTACTCAATTATATACTTTATTGTACATAATTAATACCGGATGATGCATAATTGATTAGATTTTATTTGCAAAGCTGCCTGCAACAAATAATATTCGTATGCATCAGCAAATCATGTTACAGTCTTATGAGTGAGTGCATGAGTTCTGGAGTGCTTTAAACTGCTGATTGATAATAGGACGCTTTGCTTTATCAATTTTAAAGCAGCTGCTAAACTCAAGGTATTAAAATGATATTCCCTTGTCATTCATTTTCTGCATGAGGGCAGCCTGAAGGTCATCTAATGGAACATCACCTTCACCACAGACTGAGAACAGCTGCAGAAAAGTCCCCTATGGTCAGGCGTCGAGCAAAGGTGAAAACCAAAGTAGTTCAAAGCTGTCAGCCCACCAGATCTGGCCTGCATAGAGACCACCATAAAGAGCTTGAAGAAAGGGCAGTGTTTTACTGTGTGTGTTTGGGGCAAGGGAGGGGTGTTGCTGAGGGGCAACTGGTCATTGGGCCCCTCATATAGATACTGACACAGTTGTACACTCATGAAAGGACAATGATCCTAAACATACCTCAGAACTCACCACAAACTGTAAGACTCTGTTGGTAGACTATGAGTTATGACTTGTACTTGTGACTAAGAGTGCTTCTCTCATTTCCTGCTCACCACCATGGACTGCAGGTAGTGCAACAGAACTTGCCATTGTACACACTGTTCTGGAGACATTTTCCCTGTATGTGTCAGATAAGGACACACTGTGCACTCAAAGACAATCACTCTGATTGATGTGAATGAATTTTACTGTTCACTTCAGCCGAAAAAGTATTTTGTTACAGGTTTATTTAAAAATATATACATAATCGCTGTTCAGTCTTCCATTTTTATGGATCTCTAAGGTTGTTGTTCTTTCCTGTAGAGTTGTTAGCACTTCTCCATGTTTTTCCAACTCTAATTGACTCTGGTGGAGTCTCTGGACTCTAACGTGGTAACGAGGGGATACATATCCAATTTGGGGTTGTATGACCTTAATGAGAACGGTTACCTCATAATGTTTTTTTTTTACTTGCATTACGTTTTGTTTTTTGTTTTTTTTTTCCCACAAATTTGTCACTGTCATTTCAGTCTGGCTTGAAGTCAAGCACTTTCTACAGTTGATGTGTCTGTGGTGGATGCAAGGGTGTTCCAGGTGGGTGCTGTGGTATGGCATGTGACTGCTGGGGCATTGCAAGGTGGGTGTTGCTAGATGGATGCCATAGTGTCAAAGGCAGTTGCTAGGATGTTGCTCGGCCCTTGCTATGCTACCCCACATGGATGCTAGGATCTTGCTAATGTACTTCTATTATCATGATATAATGGTACAAACTTTTGCCCACATGGTTCTGCCATTCGTTTCCTATAGATTATTGTACAAAAACTGTCCGTCGGATCAGTTCCTGGCTACACTCAACATTGAGTTGGAACAGAAAAAAATCTGGCAGAAAAATAGTAAGAATAACAATATGAAGACTAATACAAAAATCTGATAGCAATAGTGTCAGTTTAACAACTTATCAGGCCTCCTACCTGGAATGTTTCCTGTAAGAACAACACACGGTCATGGGGTCATTCTGAAAGGTGACATTTTTCTCGCTGTCATTCTTTAAATGTCTGCCATACTGCAGACACTACAGTAATAGGGGGAGAATGTTCTTTGTTTGGGCCACTTTCATTTCCACTAAGAGCTGTATAAGCTATATAGGCCTCTCCACACTAATAAACTACTCTGCGTTTTGTCTTTAACCTTTTGTTTATTTCCACTGCAGTATTTCATCACTGAAATCAAACGTCCACGAGGGAACTGATCTGATCTCATTACTTTCTGTTACTTTTGGATTTCTTCCCTTTTTTAAAAGTCATATAACTAAAATAAACACAAAAGAAATATAATTTCAGCAACAGGATTTAACATAATAACAAGGCAAACAAGAAAACTGCTCTGTTTTATGAAGCAGTATGACTTAATTATCTGTGTCTGTGTACCAAAAGGCCTGTACTGGCTCTTAAGGCTTCATATTAGTACATCATGCTTAGATGGTCCCAAGAGTTTCAGAAGGCATTGTTTTCACCTGAAAACTAAGTGGGAGCTGATTATTTTAGTCACCAATAATTATAATTTATATTGACATTACATTTTGTTTTTTTGACTTTGAAAATGACTGAAATATCTTCAGAAAAATGCTGCTGATCTTCTGCCAACCAAAATAAATGCTTACTAAAATCTCTACATATAAGCTGAATAAAAGATCATAAACAGCTGCATGTTCTTCAGATTTTTCTGTAAAAAAAATAGACTGTGTTTAACTAACGCATACATTTTAATGACCTTCCAAAAATGTTCCACAAAATGTAACTAAAATGAGTCTTCTGTATTCACAAGTTCCCTCTTTTTCACTGTACAAAACATAATAATTGTGCATAAAGTCTTAAAGTATGGTGCAAGGCTGAAATAGCTTACGAGCCCAAAGAGAACACAGGTACAGAAGGTGACTAGAGATTATTTGAATATTCACACATCCAGACTCTCAGTATTCAAAGTAAAAGTAAAACTAATCATAAGAACGTTATTCTGTTTAACAACCAGCCTGATAGTCAGCTAACAGGCTAACAGGCTACTCCAGTAACATTCAGAGTTGAAATTTTTAGTAAATGATTCATACAGAGAACATACAGAGAACTGAGTACATCACACATTCAAAATCAGTTTCTAAGCTAAATGATGTCAGTGACGGATGTGCTGTGACGTCAGTCAGAACTTGGGCAGCTTGTTTCACTACAAGATTTTCAGATACTCATCAGTGATTTGTATCATGTTTGTTGTCAAAATTTGACTTTCAGTTTTGTTTGTTTTTAAACTCTGCCTTGTCTTGGATGCTGCTTTCTTGGTGAGGTTTCACATGTAACAGAGATTTTTTAATACCTACTATCCTGGTTTAATAAAGGTAACTAGACAACTTGGCTGAATGGTATTTGTGTCACACAGCTGTCTTTAATGCAGGATATAGAAAAGTGATGATGCCTGATTATTTTTCCTCATGTTTTGACTGAGATGAGAAATCGAGATGAGAACTGTCGAAGGCCGAGCTCTGATAGCCTGATAGTTCTATTGTTAAGAACTTGTATCATAACAACAGCAGAACCCTTTTGGGTGCTATATAGAACCCTTTTCAAAAAGGTTCTTTATAGATCCATGTACAAAACATTCTTTATCAATCTGAAGAATCCTTTTATGATGGAAAGTAGCCTGTAATTGTGTAAAGCGTTCACGAGAGTTTATGGTTCTATATAGAACCATTTTCTTTACTAAAGAACCCTTGAGGGACCATCGTTTGTAGCCCATATTTGCAGTGAGATA